GAACATGCTCCTAATGGGTAAGTAACTGAAAGACTCAACCTGCCCCTCCCTGCACTCACAAACACACACCGGGTGCAGCTGCAGCACAAACACGGAAATAGGAATTGCACTGGAACAGAATGGTTACTTCTGAATAAAAAAAAAAAAAAATCTTTTTAAACTTAAATAAATAAACAATTTGCTTTGTCGGCACTGAAGGGGGGCTAAACAGATTTCTGACAAGGTTGACCCCTTTCCGCGGTGTGGTGCCGTGCATTCGCATGGCCATTAGAGAACTGCAATTTGTACCTCTATTTTGACTTCTTTCATTGACTGTGTTCTTGGTCATTTGGTTTTCAGATTTTTTTAACTTATAAACAGATTCCTGAAAAGCATTATTATTTGGAATTGCTCCCAATTCCCTCTATATTGACCACCACTATAGCATGATGCTTCAAACACATTTCATCATGGGTATCGTGTTCTTCTGGTGTTACTTTTGGCATTTATTGACAAAAACTTCGCCTTTGATCAAATGAAATCAAAACATACTCCCACAAGAGCCCATTTATATTTTTCATCACATAAAAAATAAGGTTACTCTTTACCAAATAAAACCTATATATCCTTTGCTGTTGTTTGGGGCCTTATGGCAGCCTTCCTGACCGCTACTCATTTTTTTTTTTTTTGATATCTTGATTGAGCCAAGGCACATATTTTACATTAGAAAATAATACGAGCATACACTGGCAGACAAAAATGTCTCACCAAGTGGATACACAAGTTAAGTACTGTCTATAGCATTTGCCATTTTGGGGAAGAGCACTTAATTGTTCTGCCTGTCAATATACAAGACAGATGAGCAAAGATGGATGATTTAAGAAGTAAAACACTTTTGGGGACCAATTATGTGAAATTGGATAATTTCACTGATGATCTCTCACATGACGCTTGCGCTGCTGCACACTTGGAGGGAATCTAAACTCTTTATCAATTCTGAAGGGACAGACATTTCTTTAGAATGTTTCTATTGTCCTGTGTTTGTTGCATGTAATTTGAGATGCCCAGAACACAGTTTGCACAGCTTTAGGAATGTATGAATGATGCATGTGCATGCCTGGACCGAAGGTTTGTACAATTACACACAAACACACACTCATACACACCAAAACACAAAACATTGAATGGAAGCCTGAGACATGTAGAAATCTCCATCACAGAACAGAATGTGGCAAGACCTGCGAGGACAAAAAAAAAAAAACAAAAAAACGCTCTCACGTGCAAATGTAGGTGACTTGAAAAGAAAAAAAAACACAGGGCAAAGATACTCTCGCCAGTTACATGGTGAAAAAATACATTTATTGGAATCTGTGTCAATGTAGAAAAAAGTGAAAACTGGCTTTGGATTTTGTCACAGTACCACTGGTCAGTTTTCAAGCAGCTGCTAGGTGACCCGAAAGTAAGCAGTCATGCTCATTTGGGACAGCACACCTGCTACGGCTGACAATAGAGAAGGTATTCTACAGTGGCACTATGACACCAAACACACTGAAACAAAACACTTAGCAAATACAATTGTACAGCCATTAACAGAGACCACCGTTCTCTTCAAAGAGTGTGTTTTGCTCAAGTCGTTTTTCAATGTCGTTCTTTAATCTGTTTTTATTTATGTATGTGTGTACATATATGCACACCCATTACTGTCTGCACGCCATAAGGGGCCGTGCCCGCCCTCCAAGATGCTCGTTGCATGTGTGATACTGTTACAAATTAATCTCCCTGACAACTGAAAAGGCAGAGTGGCAGGCTGCCATCATCTAAGTGACTACAAGAATATAGGCCGATATTTTAGCATCTAATTCAGCCTATGATAAATAATTTTGTCCAAGACCGTGGTATAAACTCTATGGGGAGGGAGATTCATGCATCGTCTATGAATACAACTGCAGTTTCACTGGAGAAAAAAAATTGGCGCTGAGCATCAAGCGAATGCTTCTTTCCTCTCATTTCTACAGAAGTATATATCTATTTTTAATCTCAGCTATTCCAGTTTGAGCAACCATTTCCAGAATTATCACACATGAACAGCAAGCAATGTGATTCGGATGGGCTAACATTAGCATGGGTAGTGCATTTAGGAAAAGTCCAACAACACGTGGAGAATCTGCATACTTATGTTAATGGCAACAAAAATGACAATGCATTAAAAGGCATTAGAAAACAAAAGACATTGCTAAACTCAGATACTGAGTATTAAAATCGAGAGGTCAGTACTTCCCCATTACTTTATTTATAGAGTTATTGTGTTTATAAATATTTTAAATCTGATAGAAAATAATAAAGTAAGAACCATTTTTATTCACACAGACAAGAGTGCACATAATGAAGAAAGACGATGCGCATGCTGAGGTGGTTTTACGAGAACAGGGTTTGCGGTCTCAATGCAGATTATATGCACGTTTATTTCTTTATTTATTTTTTAATTTTCTGATGAAATGTGTGACTGGTGTTTTCCAGCCACCAAAATAAAACACCATTCAAACATGAACACAAACATGCGGTTTCAGTTGGTCCATAGCCTCTCTCGCCTTCTCTTCAAGCGTTCTAATCCTTCACGACAAATACTAAACCATAAACATCTGAAGTTCCAAACTGGATTTTTTTGGACAAATCTCTAACAACTGAGTGGATGGAACTGAGGATTTGACGGAACTGATATGTGATTAACTGCAGCAGTCTTTTTGGGTCAAAGGCGAATAAAACACTCATGGGTGGACAATGTGAGAGAATCAATTGATGGTTGCATAAAAGCAGATTCATGCTTGATTTGAGGTTTCAGAATGATGACAAGAAATGACAATGAGAAAAAAAAATAAAAGCTCGATTATGTGTGTTGTGATAAGACTTAAGCCACAACGTTGGATGTTATATTCATATTACTTTCAAGTGGGCTCTGTCTTGAGCACAGAGTTGGGCAGCCTCATATTTGTAGAAGTAAGCAGAGTGCTGAACTCGCTTCTATCCGCCATGGACGATCTCCAGCAGGGGTGCCCAATACGTGGATCGTGATGGACTGGTCCCAAGTCGATAGCGAGGGGTGTAGAGGGGAAAAAAAACCCTGATTTCCTTTTCACAAACTCCCAAACTCTTGTGTCTACTTTATTTTTCAGTTTTGTTCATCTTAGGGGCCATTATGGTTGTTGCTCATCATGGCAAGTGTATATAAGTGCGTGCGTATCCACGTGTGTGTGGTAACGGGTCGATCGTGGGAGGTTGGTTGATCGAAAAGTAGATCTTCGGTCCAAAAAGGTTGAGCGCCCCTGATCTACAGCATCCACTGTACAGCACCCTCTCCAGGCAGAGCGACAGCTTTAGCGACAGGCGGCTGCCACTACCCTGCTCCACTGACTGCCTGAGGAAATCCTCCAATCCCCGATGTCGTGCAGCTTTTTAATTTCACACTGGCAGAGAAACAGAAACTCTCATATCACGTTACCTCAAAATCTTGTGCACTGATTATCATATACCATTTTCCGGACTTTCAGACTGCACTGGAATTTTGACTGAGATTTATTTCTCTATGGAAAAAAGAAAAAGACGTGTAGGTTTTATGTTTAACATTTGTGATACCTGCATACTGTTTCATATTCAAAATAGAACGTGTATTTTTTTTATATATTAAATATAATCGTTATTCTGCTATGTCTTTTGTTGTTGTGTTTTCATTGTGGAGACTACTGGAACAGCGTACAGTGGTGCCTTGAAATATAAGTGACCGGACTTTCCGGTGTTTCAAGATATGGGCCGTCATTCACTCATTATTTGCTTTGACTTGTGAGCAAAAACTTGAACTATGATCATTGTACAGTGGCAGTGAACTCAACTAACTTCACTACAAGCAGCTCTTTGGTAGATAGTGAACAATTTTTCAGGAAATATGCTTCAAGCTATATAATACCGCTCTCCCAGTTGAAGTTTACTGTCCAAGTGAACATAAAAAAAAAAGAAGAATTAAAATAAAACGAACAACCACATCACTTTGCCTTAAAGCTCACTAGACAACGCCATGGATGCTAATAAACAGCATCAACAGTATGTTGCAATGTTCTATTCCTAATAGCGACAGATATTTGAAAACAAATGGTGGCACACCCGATAATATACAGAGTCATATTCTTTATCCTCAGCGAAGAACGACTAAAAATGGCTGATATGCTGAAGAGCTGAGTCTGTTCGCGTGTTAAGAAAATGTGATTTGAGATATGAGTCTTAAATTACAAGCGAGGTCACAGAACAAATGGAAATCTCAGGCTGAGGTGTCCAAGTGAATCGATTGATCGACAACTAATCCATTATCAAATTAATCAACAACAATTTTAATAATTAAATATTCATTTAAAATAAAATTGTCCAAATCCTCAGATTTCAGTTTTTCAACAGTAATTATTCTCAGATTTCTGAAGTCCTTCATAAAAGCAGACTGACTGACTTCTGTGTTTAAACAAAACAAAACATTTGCAAACATCTGCTTTTCTTTTGGAAGACAATGACCGAATCAGTAACTGAACCACTCAACACTAAACAATACCAAATATACAACAATAACTGATAAATAAATTAAATGGGGGAAAATGGTCCAGCAATACACTTTAAGACAAAATAAAGTTGGATTTGATTCAGTGACAGTGACATTCGATAGTGACAGTCACAATTTTAAGGCACCACTGTATTTCTTTAAATGATGAATAAAATGTCTACCAATTAATCTTAATTCAGACAAACTCTGTACTGAAGTAACAGTCATATTGTTGAACACTCTGGAAGAAAATAAAAAGTAATCGTGACGTCACCTTTCAGAAGACGCACTGAATACCACCCTGAAAAAGCATGTTTGAGTTCATTTTTTTTCATGTCTTGGATGAATAGTACTTAAATGCCAAGCAACATTATCTTTGTATGTGATTTAGAAAACATCTTGTACATATTCACAGCTGTTTGACCAAATGGCAAAGAAAACCATGAAAAGTGAAAATTGCTGGTTTAATCGTCTAAAACATGGATGCTATGAGTTCTTTAAAGTTTGGTTTTGGTTCATTTTATCAGTTGATGGTTTCAGGCTCAAAGGGTAAAAAAAAAAAAATCTTGCAGCTTGTTGCCTTTGAGCACTAACACTAATATCCATCCATACAGCCATTCAATTTCTTTTATGTGTACAGATATCCGGAGTGATGCGAAAGAGTGGTGACATCCTGTGTTCACGTGTATCTTCTGACATGTTCATATATTTATCTTGATGGAATAAATTGTTTTGTGAATGGGCGTTCTTCGGGGAGAACTTTATATGGCAGATTTCTGTCCAGTAAAGGAGCACACATACAAATATGAAGACATTATCCCACAATGATTGAGATGTTTACAAGTTTTTAATATTCTGGGGGACAAGTGTTTTTTTTTTTTTTTTGTTTTTTTTTTGTGGTTGTTTTTGGTGGCATGAAATGGCGCTGCCGCCTCGATCCATCCCGGACTACACAGTAGTTTCATTCTTCCAGGGTCCAGTGCGTATATTTCCCGTACTGTCTGAGCTATAAAGGAGTCCCTCGTGCAAGCCGCCCTTTAGAATCCCATTCTGATTGGGTGGATTCTGGGGATAAGATTGTCTGCGCGGGGCGTGCATTTCCAAATGGTGATGCGTGATTGGCTCCTCCTCGGCCACTTTGCTGCACCCGCATAGGAACACTCCTGCATCGGCTGCCTCTGACGGGCACAGGGAAGGGAAAATGTCCGCCTTGGCGCAGCACATGTGCCGATGGCAGGGATTATGGCACGCGAGGGTCTCATGCGCGGCCGCTGCTGCCGTGTGGCACGTATGATGCCCCTCGTGGAGGACCTCGTGGACCTGATGTGGACAAGTGTGGATGTGACGCTCATGGGTGCTGTGAGGGCTGTCAGTGTGTGAGCTGTGCACGCTGCCGCCATCGACATTGGAGGGGATATGATAGGCGTATTCTCTCTCACTCCCCGGAACACAAACACTGGTTGCAGACCTGCGGCTAAAATGGCGGCCTTTAGTCCTGCTGCTGCTTTTCAAACAGGGGTGCAACTGGATGCCTGGCCGATAGCCCTCTGGATTAGCATGAAGCAGCACGTGTGTAGCAGTCGGTTCCTCCTCCATGAGTTGCTGGCTATGCAAGGCAGCGCAACATGGAGTCACAGGTGTTAGACAGGTTACATGATTTTGTGATGATGGAAGGGCAGCATGTTTACAGTGACTGACACTGGCATGACTACAGGTAATCACAGCCTTACATGGCGACTCATGGTGGCAGTGACTGTGACCATGGCCGTGCGAAGGGGTATCTCCATTTACGTTGACTTTTGGTGGCGCTTGGCCCGCCCCATGAGCACCGGAGGTGCTGTTGGCTCGCCTTCCAGGACAACAAGAACACCAGCAATGCCAAACATCGTCCCGTTTGGCACAGTGATGAATGAGGATGAAGAGGCCAAGCGTGACAGAGAAGGCACCGTACAGGCAACTGAAGATCATGTCCAGGAAATGACCCTGTGATACGGCCAGTGCGCCAAAAGTCCATGTGGCCAGGAACAGGAAAAGCGTGAAGGCCGCTGTGCGTAATTGGGCCTTGAAGGAGTGCTCATTTGCCAGCAGGGCTGGATTAATTGGGACACCCGGGCAACCGGCAGGGCAGTGGCTCCCGGTAGGCTGGCCCGTCGGGGCGCCGGGCTCAGCTGCCTGCTGGCAATGAGTCGGCACGTCGACGGAGGCCAACCTTTGTTGCTCTTCGGTTAGCTGCTTAAGCTCATACTTTCTTTCAGGGTGGCGGCGCAGTTGGATGAAGGTACAGAGGAAGTAGATGCATGTCACCAGGACGATGAGGGCCACTGGGCCGAAGAAAGCTCCCAGACTTGGCTCCCAGGCCATCCAGCAGCTGCAGCAAACAAGAAAAGAATCAGATAATAATGCGAGCTAATAGCAAAAATATTATAGCTTGTGGTCTGAATACGAGTTCCTTCATTTTAAATACAAGAGACATTTCCATTCCATTAACATGCAACATAATTTATGATAAAGAGGGCAGACGATTTACAAAAATAATCATGGATCATAAAGTCCTTGGCAAAGAAATTATCTGCCCACCCTGATCAATACAATCATAGCAATAAGCAATATGTATGCACTTAGTTGAGAATTTGAATTAAAACGATGTATCGATTATTTTCACTTATAAACTATTCCTAGCCAGTTTTCCTTCAACATGTTAAGTTCAACGGGTGAACTTACTATGGTGCTTGCTCCCCGCTTCCATAGTTGTCAAGACTGACAGCTGCGGTGACCCCACAGATGATGAGGGGCACTCCGCCACTCACTAAATAAAATCTGTAAGAGATAAGGAAAAAAAAAAAAGTCCTTGGTTTGTCAAAACAATTTTATGATTTCAATTACAACATTTCACACTTCATCTGGAAGTTTCATTCCTTCTATTACTTACCCTCAATTAAGGGCATTTGCATTAGATTTACAACTGAGAAAAATCAACAAAATTAACAACAGAAAATGTGTACCTGCAAATTGTGTAAGTAGTGCAAGAAACATGCATGTGCATTTTTACAAAGTTCCATTTCAGCCTTTGATATACTCATGTTTCACTTTCCTCCACAACAAATGAGGCTGTCAATGTTGTTTAAACTTTTTAGTTTAACATTAAATCGTTAATTTAGCTAAATTGCCTCATGGGACAGTCGGCCCTGCACATCAGACGTGGCAAAAACATCAATATTGTATTAGATTGTGCTTTTTTTCATTAATTTTTTTTTTTTAATGACTCAATAGCTCTCCTTACAAATTTTATAATGAAGCAGGCCATGTTGTACATTTTACCAAGATCCAAGAAAATTTAGAGGCATAAAAACCCTGGAACACACCTAATTAAACCGAACCAGTTTCAGAGGATGTTCATTCTGTAAAAGTAGATTACAGACATAACACATAACTAAGTCAGTTCAAATGACTACTTTCTGGCTTTAAGAAACACTAATTTAAAAAAAAAAAAAAAAAAAGAAAAAAAAAGTCATATTCAGGAACAGTTACATTTTTAGACCCAGCAGAATGAAAAAAAACCTATGGAATCACTCAACTGTGAGGAAAAAAATTCTGAAATCACTCTGTAAATTTCCATTCCGAAAAGTGGCATCTGCATCAGTTTAGATCTGCACGTTAGTCGGCAGTTAAACAGGAACGATCACACCTTGGAGAGCTGTTGCACCAAATGGACGGACATGAATCATGGCTCCATCATGAGAGATGTCAATTGAAAACTTTTGCTGGTAAATCAGGCAATGTTGTGTCTACAATCTAGAGCAAATACAAACAACATGGGAAGAGTGTGAAAGGCAACAGCCTACTGGTTAACCAAGGATGACATCAAAGCGTCAAGGAAGAAAAAAATCGAGCACTATGACTTGAAAACAGCAAATGCGCAGCAAAACAAATGAGGAACACATGGGAGGAAACTGAAGTCAACGTGTTTGTAAGAAACTGCCTAAAGGAAATGGGATTTACATCGAGAAAAGGTAAATGAAAGCCGTCACTAACACATAAACAAGCAAACAAAAAAAAAACTAGGTTACAATGAGCTAAAGAAAAACAATTGTGGACTGTGGATGCCTGAATGAAAAATGATGAATCTGCATTGTGCAAGGTGATGATGCTGGAATTTTTGTCAAGTGCCGTTCCAATGAGATTTATGAAGAGGACTGCCTGAAGAAAACAACAAATTTGCATAGTCACTGACATGAGGCTGCATGTCAGGTAAATGTGCTGAGATACGGCTGTCATTACATTTGGACATTTCTTTATCCTATAAATTGAAAAGGACATTTGGGGATGATGAAATCTTTTTCCAAGATGATAATGCGTCTAACCATGGAGCAAAAAACTGATAACATCGCTTGAAGAAAGACACATCAGGTCAATGCCATAGGGTGCCAATAGTCCGGAGCTTAATCCAATTGAAAATCTTTCGTGGAAGTTGAAGAAAATGGTCCCTGACAAGCCTCAAACCGACAAAGCTGTTCTGGCAAAATAATTCAGAGAAAGTTGGGGCCAGATTGAGGCAGAGTACTGTTTGCAACTCATGAAGTCCACGCCTCCGAAACTATGAGCTGTTAAAGCTAAAATGCGGTGCAACCAAGTACTAGTGGTGTGCTGAAGTTTGTTGTTGTTTTTTTCCCCATGATTCCATCACCAGGGCCATAAATAGACAGAGCGGCCAATGTATATTCAAATTTGTTTTTGTATCTAAATTTAGCTGATGCGTCTTTTTATCAGGTGCATTTTGTAGTCTGTTATAACTGAATTTTACTGTGTAATTTAAAAAAAAAAATGGCTCTGTGGTGCCCCTACAAATATTTAACTAAGCATCTCCAGTTGATTCTTTCACTGAGATCAATGAAAAATTGGTGGCCATGCCCTAATTTTCTTTGAAATTTTAGATCGTTTTTGTCCTTTTACATAGGTCATCCATCCATCCATTTTCTAATCCGCTTACCCTCACAAGGGTCGCGGCCGTGCTGGAGCATCTCCCACCTGTTTTTGGGCAGTAGGCGGGGGACAGCCAGAGAGGAACGACTATCCGCGCTCACACTCACACCGACGAACAATTTGGAGTGTTCAATCAGCCTGCCATGCATGTTTTTGGAATGTGGGAGGAAACCGGAGTACCCGGAGAAAACTTCCAGATACAAACTGACAAGATGGTAATGGCGAACCAACCAGATATCGTGATCATAGACAAAGGGCAGAGGAAAGCCGTTGTAGTGGATGTCGCGATCCCAAGTGATGGAAACATCAGAAAGAAGGAACACGAGAAAATGGAGAAATACCGAGGGCTCAAAGAGGAGCTGGAGAGAGCCTGGTAGGTAAAGGTGACAGTTAGGCCTGTGGTGGTCAGAGCACTCGGGGCAGTGACGCCCAAACTGGATGAGTGGTTGCAACAGATCCCGGGAACAACATCGGACATCTCAGTCCAGAAAAGTGCAGTGCTGGGAACAGCAAGGATACTGCGCAGAACCCTCAAGCTTCCTGGCCTCTGGTAGAGGACCGAGCTCAATGGGGGACGGACACCACCCGAGGGGTGAGATGAAGAATATAATATAAAATTCCCCATACCCAATAACCCATTTTGTCCATGGTCCTTTGTAGCTGCTCGCAGTGCTATTTTTAAAATTTTAACTTTTATTTACTCATTGGTGTCACTCAGAGGGACACTCAATTCACACGCTGATGTATACTTTATGTCGCACACTGCACAGAGAACCGGAGCAAGACACATGCAGGCATGTTTGGAAACATTCACAGTGAAAGAGGTGCGCAAAGAGTGCTGGATCACTTTGACAGTAGCCAGCAAGCAGACTAACATCGCCAACAACTTGGGCCTTTTTTTTTCACTTTTGTCCACAGTGGGACTCCATCCCATCTATCATAACTCCGAAGCCCAAGTCCTTACAGATAGAGCTATGTTTCATAAATGCAAGCATCGCATTATGTCGAAGCACACCAACATGGTATTTCACAAGCATTTCATCAAGATAAGAAAAACAACACTTAATTTCGATTCACTTTGGTAGTTGCTTCATTCACCATTTCCCTTTAGCATGAAACCTTCCTGTGAAATCAATGTTACACTTCCTCAGGGTGAAATTGAGGCCATGAATGCAAAGATGGTATCACATTTAGCTCTGTTACCTCCAGGCAAACTTCTCCACGCATGATGATAGTCCGGCATTAAGCAAGTGTTTAATCATCTGTCATCTGTTGCCTGATAAGGAAAGCTTTTAATTGTAAAATCGGAGTGCTATTGATGCTTACATCACAGCAACTAAACAGCGAGGGCTAAAAATTGTGTGCGACAACAACGCTAATCCCCAGCAGCTCCATCTCCACCGTGTCCTTGTGCTTTCCCTTTTCCCTGCCATCCACTTTCCTCCATCACACTATGCTATTTCCTCTTCCATCCTGTTCAATTTGGACCTCTGTCACTGGTCTCACCTTTATAACACTCCATCTTCCTCCTTTCTCCTCCCTCTGTCTCTGCCTTTCACAATATGTCTCTCGTCACACAAGAGACATCCCGAAAATTCAATTACAATCAAGGTGCTTGTCTGGGTCCTTGGGACTTGGGTTGGTGGGGCATCGGAGTAGGGTGATTCTCCGAAGGGAATTAGGAAATGCGGTTGGTGATGGTCCTGGTTGGCAGCATTACCGGCAATGACATTACATCTTAGTGGAACAACTTAAGTTCCCTGAGGAGCTCCCACCCCCCACTGACAGAAAGCCATTTACGCTCCTGTCAGCAAGACACGTGTAAATGAGACTAAGTGTTCAAATGTTAAGGCACCTGACCTCTTGACCCTCAAAACAACACATGGCTTACATATGTGAATGTTTTAAAATTTGCAAAAAGAGAGCACACCCAAATCTGTGCATGTGAAAAAACACACCCCGCACACAAGAAAAAGGGCAGTTATGTATGAGAGCGACAGTAATAATCCAATGCGGGTAAAGCATATCCTGAAGCAGTAGTATTAATAACCATACAATATTATTGATAACCAGACAAACAATAACAATGATACCAATCACAGTCACCAAATGCAAATGATTTGAAAATGCGGTGGGGTATTCAACCACATGAGGTGGATCAGATTTCTGACAACATTGGCAACAATTGTTTTCTTGATATACCATTATATGCTGTCGAGATTGGAGGCAAAGAGGGGTAGATCAGCCCAAATAGGTTTGATAATGTGCATGGGCGAGATGGTGATAGCAGAATGGATGGGGCGGGGGCCGCAGGAGGAGAAATTGATTTGTCTCCAGCCGCTAAGTCTTATTGCATGAGCCTGTCTGACAGGGACCATTACAGTCAATCACCACGGATCAACATGGATGCAGTGCTGCATGACCCAACCGCTTGGCCCTGGACAAATTATCTCATTCGCAAAGCAGTGCATGACGGTAGCGAGTGCAAGTTCTGTATGTATATGCCTAACCATGAAGGGATTGGCGGATTTGCTTTGAAAGAGGAGGGCTCTTTAGAGGTACTGACGGTCCTCCTGTGTTTTGGTGGCCCTTCAGTCATATCAGCTAGGAAGAATATTTCTTACAAATGTTCACTGAAGTTTATTGTCGCAGTCATCACACCATAGTACTTTACTGTCCAATGCAAAGAATCCTTTAAAGTACAGTCAAACCTCGGTTTTCGACCATAATCCGTTCCAGAAGGCTGTTCGAAAACCGATTTGTTGAAAAACCGAAACCATGTTTCCCATTATAATAAATGTAAACAAATTTAATCCGTTCCAAGTCTAGAAAACAACTTTTTTAAAAGCATTTTTAAACCAGCAGGTAATATGTAAAATACTGTACAAACAAACTACAAACATTTTCTGTTTTATTTTTACCAATTTTAACAAAAACATTGACATTGTAACATAAAAATTGACGTAACATCTCTCTCTCTCATCGTGACAATTCTAGATTGCATTCTTTTACACCCTGAATTTATAAACCCTAAAATAATGTCTGTAACTATGGATGCTCTCTCTGAAATCCTACGCTACGGTACGAGGTAACATCCCTCCATCCATTTGCTGAACCGCTTTATCCACACAAGTCCAGTCTCGTTCATATTAAAAGTTTGCTGGGGAAGACATTCCTCGGCCATGATGAGATTTTCAAACTCAACTTTAAACTTTTCAGCAGCTTCCTTGTCTGAACTGGCTGCCCCCCTATGACGAATCACTTCTTTTCCTCAACTTTTCGAACCATCCTCTGCTTGCTTTAAAATCAAACTCTTCAGGAGCAATGCTAGGATCCTTTTTTATCAAATCTCCATACAAATGTCTTGCTTTGCTAAAAATCGTATCTTGGCTAAGACTGTCCCCTGCTAGGTGTTTCTCATTCATGAAAATAAACAAAAGTTTCTCCACTTCCTCCAATATTTGTGGCCTTTGTTCGCTAAACACACGAGATCCTTTAGCCACATCACTGACTTTAAGATGGTCTTTCTTTTTTAGGATGCTGCTGATTTCGGCATGCCGAACTCCTGAGCCAACACAGACACACGCACACCTGATTCATATTTCACTATCAAATCTTTCTTAATTCAATAGTTTTGCGAACTATTTTCCTCTTTTTTTCACCAGCTTTACTACTTCCACTTGCTTTCTTTGGTGCTATGCAGAAATAACAGTCCAATTTAAGTAGATCTCAACAAACACATCCGTTTTTTTTAAAATCTTTATTGAACACTTCTGCTCACAATGGACGCTGTTTAAAAAAAAAAAAAATCTTTATTGAACACGTCTGCTCACAATGGACGGTCTTTCTTTTTTTTTTATCTTTATTGAACACGTCTCCTCACAATGGAAGCGTCACTTCTTCGTCTACCCGAGGAGCGTCACTTCCTCGTGAAAGGAAGCCCAGAGGAGTCGAGTGCATTGCACATTCAAGTGCGCTCAGTTTGGTCGAGAACCGATTTTCGGTCGTAATCCGAGGCATAAAAAACTCGAAATTTTTGGTCGAAAACCGATTTGGTCGAGAACAGAGATGTTCGAAAACCGAGGTTTGACTGTAGTTAGAATGCAAAGTCTGTACGTAGCAATGCAATGCGGTCACACAAATACCGGTAACAGGAAAACACAGAAGATAACACAAAGCATCGGCGATGTGCAACCAGACGACGAAGACGACGATCAGTTGCGTCCACTGATCATAAATTCCAATTTCTGCTGTGTAGAAGTATGAAAACTATGTGTTTAGTTGCAACCATGCCAATCAAAATATGCTGAAATAATGCATAAATCACTTCCAATTGTTTGTAAAGACCGGTGCATATAAACATTTTGGTGTGGTTCTCAGATAAGCACCAGAGGTGCTCATTTTTTATTTTTTTTCCAAACCACCACCGTCTTGGATGAAGACAGAGATTTCCAGCAGATCTGGGCAAAGTAGGGCCCGCGGACCACATCCGGCATCTCCACAGTCTCTGCAGCCTTTAGGAAGTCACACTGAAACGTCAGGTATGCGTTGCTTTTCTTTTGATGTGCGTGTATGTCAGCAGCTCAAGTGAACGAGAGTAAAAATCAGATGGTTTGCACAGTTTGGAGAGCTCTCTCAGTGTTGCCAAATGTATCCATTGTTGTTTTGCATGATGACACAACTTCTTTGTTTTGGTGTGAATTTACAGGTGTGTCTTTTGGACCCTTTCCACGTGGGCACAGCATGAAGCGCATTCAAATTTGTATTGACAACTATAAACAAACAAGTAATTTATTACAGTAAAGAACATGCAAGATAGATCAAAAATGATAAACTAGTCACCCAGAGACACACTAGGACATAAACGTGCACAGACCAACACCAAGCAGTCAAAGTTGAAGAGGATGGCAGGAAAATCGATGTACCTCAACAGTGGCTGTTTAGGGGGTCTAGGCGGGTCACCGTCTTGGCTCTGTAGAGGCTTCTTAGTCACCTGCTTATAAATGTTCCTCGCTGTCACCCCGAGCCACAGCATGGTCGCTAAAGACGAATAGTGCAGCACAAGCCCGACCTGAAACGGTAAAAGATGGAAAATGGCTACAATTACGATCATGACTTGTCCGAACCTTTGCTTGTGCATTCTGCACGACAACTGTCAGGGACAAAGGTTAATGCCTTTAACACATAAAATTCAAAGAAGAAAAGTGAAGGATGAGCACTTCTCATAAATATCAATGTCACGCCAAGGGTGTCTCTTTGACTGCTTCCCTTCCAGACCTTAACGTTCCGTGTCCTTCACTAAAGAGACTATCGAGCACAACAGAGTACAGGGTTGAATGAGTGCAAGGTTGATGATAGCATTTTGGCGCAGTTTTACATTTGGATACTGAGCAGCTCCTTATCAGTTATGCTAGAGGACATCAAGGGCGCAGCCAAAATAACAAATTAGAATACAAATGATTGTCACGTTGCCAACTATCTGTGTGAAAACTGTAATGCATACCTGCACTCTCTTGTTTGAATATTCATGAATTGCATTTGAACGGGAGAATAGACCTAACTTTGTCAAAAGGCTTTGACAGTTCATAACAATAGATTGAAAAGTGGAGAGGGGATGAAGGATGTTGGGAAAATATTAAAAGGCAACTCCCGCCCCCACTATACCCAAGCAAGTTGGTCAGATAGTGATTTAGAAAAAATAAATTAAAACAAAAAAGTGTATCGTTCAATGCACATCAAACTCTGATCACTGTATTGAACGATTCAGTACAGGTACATACATCGTTTTACTCACACACACACACACACACACACACACACACACACACACACACACACACACACACACACACATTGTTTACGTCTCTGAGTTAAAATCATGAGCCTCAACATCCTTCCTGGAACAACTCCATTCAATGACAATTGAATATTATTACAATCGGTCGTCATCCTCTCAGCTTAGTGGCTTTAAATTGTTGTTCATTGAAAAGAACTCAAGAAGCTCAACCAAAGGGGAAACTACCGCAAATAATGTAACTAAATACCACCAGTAGCAACCGACGAGCTGTTTAATTTCAAAGTATTAATTAATGGCAAACCAGAAAATTAGCGTGATTCATCGTACCCTCGTGAATGACAGCAAATTATCTATGGCTAGTCTGCCAAACTCTGTGATTTTACTCTATTCATTTGCGAAGTTGAAGCCAATCTTTGCAGCAAACCTTGAGCAAATATTAAATATTGAAGGCAATGACTGCCTCCCTGAGCAGCACATAGATCACAAAGTCAACAAAGGATGAGCTGGGAACAGCCAACCAGAAACTAATTAATGTTTTTTTTTCCACCACCAGACTGGCAAATGTAGAATCCCAACTCACACTGTTTAAGGTTTTTAATGGCTTGTTTACTGACCTTTTTGACCACTTCTCCTATTCTAAAGCTCATTTCTTTCAGCGATGCAATACTTTTCTTATCTTTCAAGGGAATTTATCTTTCAAGGTTCCAGCTGAGGTGACATTACACAGAAATGCAAAAACCCACCATCTTAGTAGTGTAGTCGAAAGGCTCTCAAAACAATTTGTGAAAGTGACTAAGTCTTCTCACTGATACATTTCTGTTTATTGGTCCACATCATGTGAAATACATTTTTTGGAGCTTTTAGCCATGTTAAAATGTAAATTCATCACCAAGAACCCCCCAAGTGATGTTTTCCTCCATTCACCCATCCCGCAGAATTCCTGCTCATTCCTACACTCTTAGGACCAGGCTCACTTTTCTATGTCACGAAGCGAGGCTTACTGGATGATTTGCAATGTTTATAATAATGCCCGACCCTGGAACCTACCTTAAATTTGTTGCCAGTCGCTATCTGGTGCACTGCATTTGTTTGGCAATATTTTTGATGACAACTAACCATAAATGTCTTATTTTTGGAGATGACTCAAATCCCAATCATTTCAGATGATAGAATGTCTCGTAGTTTTATTCACCAGTCCCATCTGATTTCATGGCAGCATTTTAATGATGAGAACCCCTTAATAACAACTTTAATCAGTCAAATGTAGGTCATATTCATAGTAAAATGAGCAGATTTTTAATGGCTTATTTAACTTTGCTCACACTCACTGCATAACCCCGTTAATATTTAATCTAAAATTGGTTGAAGGCCAGCATGGGATATAACAACAAGAAAACTTGACGTGATATGGTGCTTGAGTGCTTAGTACAAGTCTAGGCAGCACATCCAGTCACATAAAAATCCAGTCTATCTTTTTTATAATGAGGGATCAAAAATCAGAGGATCTAATTCAATTCTAAAACTAATTTTATACTATCAATGCCGTGATGCATATCTGAATTGTGCAAAATGGGACTTGAATTGGGTTACATTAGTACAGTATGTATACTGTATTTAGATCAAGAGCTGGAGAGACAACCATTCACAGATTCAAATGTTCAGAACCGTGGGCAATTTACAATTTTTAATGTTGATTATTAATGAATTATTCATACTGATATTGATTCCTATCGCTGTTGCGGTAGCTCATGAGTATGACATGGGAGATGATCAGGGATGCAGCGGGAAATTACGGCGTGCAATTTCACTTAAAATATGCCTGAAAATGATTAATTAGCAATCTGAAACACGTTCATCTATCTTTGCTAGCAACGTACAGTGACAGACAGAATGATTAAATGTTTTGTCATTAAATGCTATATGCCTTGTGACACCATGCTGCCTCATGCAAGTCAATCTTGATCTTAAGAAAGGGATCTGGTTTGAGAGAGGGGACTGCAGATTGTTGGTGGCGATACTGTTGTGATGTGGTGGTCATTTCGAGTACACCAGATGCTATAAGAGCGTGGCTGTGTTTTCATCTTCATGGGTTGGGCCTCTGGACAACTGAAAATAAATCTGGGAAAAAAGAAAGATCGCATCTAAACTTACTCCTAATTTACTAGATATGAAGTCTGGACCTGTTAGCTGATATACTTGCAATCCTCCATAAATTCTGCTGTATGAATTGCAATAGGTGGATAGCTTTACTGTGATTCTGCCATCTACTGTATTTGACAGAAGAACCTTTACTGGTATTTTTTCTTCCTGTCACGATATGAACAAAGCTATATTTGTAATTAATAAGTAATTTTCTGATAAATTTAATTAAACTGGATAATTTCCCACGGCACCCCTAATTATGCCCCAACGGCACAATGGTGTTCAACGGCACCCTGGTTGGTATGGGATTCACTGGTCTGGAGCATTTTAATAAATGGTACCTTTAAGAACAATTGGCTATTTCCATGTTCAAGAAGCGTATGTTATTTTGAAGAAACTGAAAGTAAAAGACCAAACTGCAATAATGTTTTTGAAACACATCTTACAATTTTGTCATTTTCTTACATAATTTCCCAATAAATCACACCCATGAAACAAACAAAAAAAAAAACAAAATAAAATGAATTTGCTCACAATTTGATATGACTACATTTGGGATGAAGCCTGCTGCCAACATTATAAAGTAAATGTGAACTGGGACCAGGACTGCAATTTTCTAATTGTATAAAAATTGTCCAATCACAGACTACTTTCAATTCTGACACTTCAATAAAAATCCCACATTGCATTCCCGATCATTAATAGTGAGGCATACAAAAACGGATTGCACTTACTGCTTGACATATGATGGGATATTTGATTCGATTGATGCCGCCGGCAAACACAGCAAAGGTCAGAGCCGTATGGAAGCAGAAGTTGAGAAGTATATGCCATCCCTTCCGACTGATGCGGATTGCACTGCCAAAAGAAAGATCAGTAAATAGAAAGTTAGCATGTCTCAAAGCAAAAATACTTCATTGTAAATTCATCTTTGGTATTGCATTGCCTTTGACACAACCTCATTGTGATCATGTTTATACTTATGAAGCCACATTTGTGAGTTGATTCTGTTCAGTAAAAACAGATTTGTAAAATTTTCTCTCCACTCCACACAGGCTTGGGGTGGACATGTTCCAGTGTTAGGTATTCAAAATACAAAAAAAAAAAAAACAACGTAACTGTATTCTGTTATAGTTACAGAAAAAAATCTGATTACAGTTTTCTTTTATAAAAAGGGAGATGATTTTGCAGGATTACATTTTCCATGCGAACAGAGCAACACTGTTTTTTGTTTGAGCCCTCATCGCAACACGTGAATGAAGTGTTGTGTTGCTCAATGGGCCGTCGTGACCCCGTCACTCGGCGCGGTGGTGTGGAGAGCAAACATTAAATGTACAGTCAGGGAAGCAAGGGGACTGGCCATATGTCCTCCACACATGAAGGGAAGAAAGAAGTGCTTACCGCTGATGACTGAAGTACTGATTTATCTTCAACAGCATTTCCAAATAAAAGTTTGAGCTGTCAAGAGTCCCGTTATGATTTAAATCTATTTAAAATAACATGTTTTGAGATTAATGAATAATCATTTTATTAATCGTGATTTCAATCTCAATCAAAATAATCATAATTATTTTTCCATGATTGTGTAACCCTACTGTAAAAAAAATGCAGCACAATTTCCCATCAGAAGAAATAATTAAATATGGAATTCAAATAATGAAATGGAATCAAATTGTATTGTCATTGCACGTCACACATCTTTTTGTTTCCTCCTAAAATCGCTCAATTATATCTATCATTAGTCATTTTAATATACTGCAGCCTAAAATAGAGATCGCCATCCATTCATCTTCTATGAGGCTTATCCTGTTTAGGGTCATGGAGAGCTGGTGCCGATATAAGATGACTCTGGGGCAAAGGTGAAATACGCCCCTGAGTGCTTGCCAGTCAATCTCAGGGCACACTCACACGACGACCATTTCGACTCGTGTTCACACTGTCACCGAGTGAAAATTGAATCCACTCTCTCAGCACTCAAGCCAGGCCAGGGTACCGCTACACCATCTGTGACATAAAATAGCTACTAACTCTTTAATTCAAATACAGGGGGCTACTTCAAATTTGCTTCAAAGAGACTGACCTGAGGCAAAGAGCATCCCAACGTGTCACTAAAGTCATGGCAGAGTAGTAATGAGTATGCACATGAACAGGAATCATTCTGTGATGACTAAAAGGGGAAGGGGGGGATTGTTTCCAGTTCGCTAGATCAATTGAAGCTTCTTACTTTGCACTTGTATTTGCTTTGAGCCCAGCCATGGGCAATACACTTAACCCACTTCACCGTGTTCTATCCAGCTGTTAGAGAATAGACTGAACAGGTCAAACAACAACAACCTACAGTTTGACACACTTTTAACAACAGCCCAGTGTGAACTATTTCTGTTGAATCCATAGCGGTCATTGTCATCATCTAAAATATAAACTGGAGATCCTCATGGTCCAAAAGGGTGATCCAGTTGGACTTAAGCCAACTCTACGTAAATGAAGCATTGGCAGCAGTGAGCTATGTGTGGCGTCTGAGGGCAGGTTTCACAGATCTGGGTGAGAGGAAGCACTGCTGCCTCTGCCACAGTCCAGGTATTGAACTGTATCCAGCAAAGAGGCCATAAATCAAGCTGGCTGCTGGCCTCCCTGGAAGGAGGTTTTCATAGGCTCTGCACTGGGTTTTCATTGGGTCAAGTACATTAACGTGCAACCCTGCACACCCTCTTACCGCAGTCTGGGATGAATTAAACTGTACTCTTGCCTCGCATTTGAGCCCTGGAACAAAATGTTTTTCGAAGAAAATGTTTTTACGCTCCAAAATTGCCAATCTTCATTCGGGTATCCACCTACTAATCCTTATTCTAATTAGCGCAAATCTGAATGACTTACTTCAAGAGTCTCTCGAACAAAAAAAACAAAAAACATGCTTTTATGACTTTCAGTACTTCAGTGTGGGCAGGCACTCGACAGACACAAATGTGTGGATACCGGTAATTAAAAAGTCACATTTAAAAAATATGTCCATTGACAACTCTGCACGACCTCAATAATGGGTCCAAACGTTCAGTTCAAAACACAACCTTCTGGCAAAGTTAAGGCTGTGTGTCTGACACTCTAATGAGCCATCAAAAAGGGGACCAAGCCTTGGCCGTTCCTGGCTCCAACCCTTTGCAATAGTCTTCCCCAACTAATTGCATGTGCTGATTCAGTAAATGCCTGAAAATACTTATAAAACAACTGTATAGATAATTTTTTACAGTAATGTGCATATGCTGTGTGACATGAAAAAGTGTTGCATGAAGTTTTACTTGAGGTATTAGTATTAGATGCTTGTGTTTGTTCAGATTATTGTTTTTATTATTCTGGTATAAATAATTTAAACACTACAATTTTCACTTTGAAACAGACGAAAACATTTGTGTCGCCGGTTGTCCTGATTGAGAACAGAGGGATTAGGGAAGTGTTATTAAATTTCAACTGAGCCAAATCAAACCCAAAAAAGGGAACTCACCTTCCTGAGCATATACTGCACATGGAACACAAGAATGGACAGTGCATCATTTCTCTTTAATTCCTAAGATTTATGACATACACCATATTTATCTTCGTGACACTGTCACATCTCTTCCTTATCGACTGATTCTCAACTGTGAGGCATCCTTTGTTGTCTACCTTCAGCAATGGCGCACATAGAACCAATCCTGGGATTCGACAACAACACTTTTTCTTGTGATTTCACATTCAGAAAA